ATAGGAAAGCATTCATAATGCTTTCCTATGGACGCTGGCGTGCTCTCACTGTGAAAATCACAGTGAGAAGCACGCAAGCGCCTCTAGCGGCTGTCATAAACTGCTATGTTTATGAAAAAATGGGTTAACCCTAGCTGAAGTGGTCTTGGTGCTGAAGTGGTCTTGGTGCCTAGAGTGGTCCTTTAAGTGTGTGTGCATCTGCATGCACTGGTGTACATACCGCGGTCGCAGGGGTCGCAGCCCTGTAACCCCTCGACCAGGTGCCCACCGCCATGTGTTGGGAGAAATCTCTGCAAGCGGTGCATGGGACCCGGAAGGTCAGCAATCCTCATCTCCAGAGCTCTACCCTTCCACCCCTCTGCACACCTGTCAGACACAGAAGGAAGATTTACCTTTGTCAAAGGACACATCTTAAATCAACTTTACACCTTTGCTAAAATCTATCTTCCTTATTTAAAACAATATGCTTCTCTTTCAAAGATATTGGCCATTTTAGCAGTCTTTGCTGAAGGCACAATAATAGTAGAGGAGATTTCAACATAATGCTTGACCCCAGGCTAGTCAACACGGCAACAAACATACACTCTGACACAGACGCCAGCTGAGAGCACTATTACATACTCACCAACTAGTAGACTAGTGTTGGTGCTTACAGCACCCTAACACCAAAGACTTCACATACTACTCACAGGTCAGACACTCATACTCGAGAATGCTAGCGCACCGACACCTACACCTGTTAAATGACTTGTCCACCCAGTCCATAATGTGGCCTGACAACATTCTAATAACAGTCACCATTAATCCTGAAACACCCTAACCATTTAACCGATTCTGGAAAATGAATGATTCCATCTTAGTAACACAAGAAATCAGGGACAAATTACAATCTCAGATTTCTACGTATTTCCAAGAAAATGACACAGCCGATGTTTCCCCAGTGACACTATGGAATGCACATAAAAATGTGTTATTAGGGGAATTTATTAAACTTGGTTCCAATCTCCAAAAATTGAAAAATGAAACAATTCAAATGCTGCTTAGTAAACTACAAACACTGGACAGGCATCACAAACAATTTCTCTCCCCTGACACGCTGACAAAATTAACAGATACCAGACGTAAACTTAACACTCTCCTAGACTCTACTATCCAAACATATATACTACCAGCATGGGAACAAATGTGGCAAATATCTGGCAAAAGTGCTCAAACAAAGACACCAACAAGCATTCATAACAAAAATATGCTCTGGAGAGGGAAGAGTGGTGCATTCTTCGGCAGACATTGCCAAGGCATTTCAAATTTTTTTAAACACGCCTTTACAACTTTCCATCACACAACTAACGGAACTAGACACCCAATAGCCCCCATGCTAAATACAGTTGCAAGAAAAAGTATGTGAACCCTTTGGAATGATATGGATTTCTGCACAAATTGGTCATAAAATGTGATCTGATCATCATCTAAGTCACAACAATGGACAATCACAGTCTGCTTAAACTAATAACACACAAAGAATGAAATGTTGCCATGTTTTTATTGAACACACCATGTAAACATTTACAGTGCAAGTGGAAAAAGTATGTGAACCCTTGGATTTAATAACTGGTTGAACCTCCTTTGGCAGCAATAACTTCAACTAAACGTTTCCTGTAGTTGCAGATCAGAATTCTTGACCATTCCTCTTTACAGAACTGTTTCAGTTCAGCAATATTCTTGGGATGTCTGGTGTGAATCTCCTTCTTGAGGTCATGCCACAGCATCTCAATGCTGTCAGGACTCTGACTGGGCCACTTCAGAAGGCGTATTTTCTTCTGATTATTCTGTTGTTGATTTACTTCTATGCTTTGGGTCATTGTCCTGTTGCAACACCCATCTTCTGTTGAGCTTCAGCTGGTAGACAGACGGCCTTACGTTCTCCTGCAAAATGTCTTGCAAAACTTGGGAATTCATTTTTCCTTCGATGATAGCAATCCGTCCAGGTCCTGACGCAGCAAAGCAGGCCCAAACCATGATGCCCCCACCACCATACTTCACAGTTGGGATGAGGTTTTGATGTTGGTGTGCTGTGCCTTTTTTTCGCCACACTTAGTGTTGTGTGTTTCTTCCAAACAACTCAACTTTGGTTTCATCTGTCCACAGCATAGTTTTGCCAGTACTGCTGTGGAACATCCAGGTGCTCTTGTGCAAACTGTAAACGTGCAGCAATGTTTTGTCTGGACAGCAGTGGCTTCCTCTGTGGTATCCTCCCATGAAATCCATTCTTGTTTAGTGTTTTACATATTGTAGATTCGCTAACAGGGATGTTAGCATTTGCCAGTGACTTTTGTAAGTCTTTAGCTGACACTCTAGGATTCTTCTTCACCTCACTGAGCAATCTGCGCTGTGCTCTTGCAGTCATCTTTACAGGATGGCCACTCCTAGGAAGAGTAGCAGCAGTGCTGAATTTTCTCCATTTATAGACAATTTGTCTTACCGTGGACTGATGAACAGCAAGGCTTTTGGAGATACTTGTATAACCCTTTCTAACTTTATGCAAGTCACCAATTCTTAATCGTAGGTCTTCTGAGAGCTCTTTTGTGTGAGGCAATCTTTTACATCAGGCAATGCTTGTTGTGAAAAGCAAACCCAGAACTGGTGTATGTTTTTAATAGGGCAGGGCAGCTGTAACCAACACCTCCAATCTCATCTCATTAATTGGACTCCAGTTGGCTGACATCTCACTCCAATTAGCTCTTGGAGATGTCATTAGTCTAGGAGTTCACATACTTTTTCCACCTGCACTGTGAATGTTTACATGGTGTGTTCAATATAAACATGGCAACATGTCATTCTTTGTGTGTTATTAGTTTAATCAGACTGTGATTGTCTATTGTTGTGACTTAGATCACATTTTATGAACAATTTGTGCAGAAATCCATATCATTCCAAATGGTTCACATACTTTTTCTTGCAACTGTATATAAACACCCACTTAACCAACTCTCTATTGCCAACAGAGGCGACCTCATTAGACAGACCCATTGACACAGATGAATTCTCGCAGGCAGTCAAACACTCAAACAAAACCCTTGAACAAAAGCCCAGGCCGAGACGGGTTCACCACCTGCTATTACAAACAATTCCACATGACATTAGCACCTTTCTTCACCCGGGCATTTAACAACGTCATTACATGGACAACAGCCCCCACTCAAATGCTGGAAGCCTGTATCACCCTCATCGCTAGACCTGGCGATTGCCCAATGTCACCCTTTTTTTCTCCTCAATTGTGATCTTAAATTCTTCACAGCCATTCTGGCTAAATGCTTAGGGCCTCTTCTGAGTGGGCTGGACCATGCCAATCAGGTTGGCTTCATTCTGACCAGGGAAGCAAAAGAAACCACCACTAGAGTGGTGTACCTGTTCTTTAAAGTCGGTCACTCTAAAATAACATCGCTATTCCTCTCCACCGAGGCTGAGAACGCATTCGATCGGGTGGACTGGAGTATCCTAGAGGGGATCCTAAGAGGGTTAGGTTTTGGCCCTAACTGGAGGGGTTGGGTGAGAGCATTATACTCTCAACCGACAGCGATGATCCATGTCAATGTACTACTTTCTGACCCAGTGGCAATAAACAACAGAACCCAACAGAGATGCCCACTATCACCCCTTGCCCTCACACTGGAGCCCATCCTGAATGCCATGAACCTGGGTTTAGCTTAGGATCCAAAGACTACAAAATCACAGCTACGCTGCCAACCTTCTGAAGAAATGAAACAATTTTGCCATTACTCTCTTTAACGCACAATCCTGACATCCCTCCTGACCTGGCCAGGTGGCTATCTAACAGCTTTCCTGACAAACAGAACATACTATTAACAGATATTCTCACATCTGATGCTCTCCCCAAGCTGGACTCCTTCACCCACA